TCGTCCTCGTCCTCGTCCTCGTCCGTCGTTCGGTCTCGTTCTCGTTCTCGTTCTCGTTCGTGTCATCGGTCATCGGCGTCGGCAACCTCGTCGACATCCCTGCTTCCATTGGCGAGCGAGCAGGGGGGGGGGGGCACCCGCACGGCAGCAGGAGGGGAACGCATCGCGGAGCCGGGAACGAGGAAGGACAAGGTAGGCAGGGGGGTGGGGGGCGGGTCAGGCAAATATTCACAGCAAGCAGAGCAGGGCAGGCGCATAAATAGACTTTGTGGGGGTGCTTTTGGTCATGTCGGGTCGGGTGGTGGGGCGGGTAGGGATGTCGTCGTTCTCGTTCTTGCTCCTTCTCCTTCTCCTTCTCCAGGCAGTCGAGGTAGTGGGTAGTGGACGCTCCCTCTCCAACGACGAGGGAGCGCGCAGCGCACGCGGTTGCGCACGCAGACACCTACTCCTTATGCCGACTAATCTTCTCCACCCCCGCACTCAGCGCCGTCACCCTCCTCTTCTCCTCCTCCTCGTCCTCATCTTCGTCTTCGTCATCATCATCATCCTCGTCCTCTGCGCCCTTCGCTTCCTTCCCCTTGACTTTCTCATCCTCATCCTCCGACTCATCCTCCGAGTCCGAACTCGAGCTCGAACTCGAGGACGAACTCCCCGATCCAGAGCCCGTCACCGTAATCGCCGGCGCGTCCCCATTTCCGTTCGCACCCACCGCACCCGCCGCACCAGCCAACCCCACCCCCGAACTCGACGCGCTCCGGTGGTGCCCATGCGAGTGCGAATGCGAGTGCGAATGCGAATGATGGTGCCCCCTGAAATGCGCGGGCAGGTTCACGGCGCGGAGGACGTGTTCCTCCGTCGACGCAGCGGACGTGGGCGGGGTGGCGGACGCGAGCGACGGCGTGCCGAGCGGGGAGGCCGTGGTAGAGGCGGAGCCGAGGGCGGGGAGCGGGAGCGGGGATGGGACGGACGCGGACGCGGACGCAGAGGCAGGTGGCGAGGCCAGCGTCGCGGCCGGAGACGAAGTAAGCTCCGTCGGCGTCGGCGTCCCGCTCCCATTGTCGTGTTCCCCTTCCTTGTCCTTCTCCTTGTCTTCTTTGCCCTCCTTCCCGCCTTCTGCTGCGTCCGCCCCACCACCCTCCCCTCTTTCATCCCCTCCTTCTCCTTCTCCTTCTCCTCTCCCACCGCCCCATTCTCCTTCTCCGCCTCCTCCCTCTCCTTCCTCTCCCTCTCCACCCTCTCCCTCTCCCGCGCCTCCCTCCTCCTCCGCACCCACCCCATCCCGCTCCCATCGTCGTCGTCGTCCCCGCCCGTGGAAGACACGACGCCCATGCCCACCGCGCCCGCGTGTCCGTTTTGTGTTTGTGTTGTTTGTGAAGAAGAAGAGGTGGAGGTGCCGTTGGTTTTCGAGCCTAAACGCGTGATGAGAGGTTAGTTGGTTGTGACATTGTGATAAAGGAAGAACGAAGAAAACGCACCTCCCCCGCCCTGCACGCCCTTCCACGCCGCATGCCCGTTCCTCACGGAACCCATCCCGCCGTACCCCACTCGACAAACTCGGGCTCGTCGTCGCGCGCGTTGCCGAAGGGGTTGTGTGTGCCTGTGCAAACAGTTAGTATACGATATAAGTTGTGGGTAAGAAGGAGTGTGTTTATGGAGGTGAGAGGAGGGAAGGAAGGGAGGAGAGAAGAGGCTGGGAGGGAGGAGACAGGAGATGAAGGGGAGAAGGTAAAAAAGCGGCGCAGCGACCCAACCACCGTGCGCGAGGGCGGACATCCGCCACCGCAGGGCAGCGAGCGCGCCCGCCAATCCGCGCACACGCACACGGACACCGCCCGAGCCCGACCCGGAGGTAGAATAGCCAAAGAGGAACGCCCAGCGAACGAACGAACGCGCGCGTCGACCGAGTCGTCGCCCACACCCGAATCACAATGTCCCATGGGTATCGACTGCGCCTCTGGCGTGTGTGAGTGCGTCCCCAACCGTCCGCACGGCGACATCCGCCACCGTACGCCGCACCCACCAACGCGTCCGCGTCCACGCACACGTAGGCACCCCTGACACGACACGACACACAGACGCCGCCCGAGCCCGAGATAGGAATGCGAATATGGAATGCGGAATGCGGAAACGAAGAACGAAAGAAGAAAAGAAAGGGATACGTGGAACGAACGAATGAACGAATGAATGAATGGATGGATAGACAGATGGGGGGAAGGTGTGAAATGAAAGCGAGGAGCGAGGGAGCAGAATGAATAGGAAAGGAGACCCCAACGAAATGAACGAACGCGTGCGTGCGCGTCGTCTGAGCAGCACGCGCAAAGTGCCTCGCCTCCTCTGCATTAGAGGTTCGCGACCCAGCCCCAGGTGTGAATGTACGCCCATGGCCAGCGTAGGCCAGCTTCCGAGGAAGCCACGCCGCGGATAAAGCGTGCAAGTCAAGTCAAGCAAAACGAAGACGAAGACGAAGGCGAAGAAATATGGGACACGCGATATGAACCCGAAGAATGAACCCGCGAGGAAATGGGGAAATGAAAAAAGTGGGCCGAGCACAAAGCAAGGACGTAAAAAAAGCAAATGGCGTGAGGCGAGGGCGAGGGCGGAGGGGGGCGCAGAATAACGGCGGCCCGTAGCGCGAACAAAGAGACAGAGAAAGACTCACCATTAGCATTCCGACTCCCATACACCCTCCCATTCAACATCCTCGTCCCCCTCTTCCCGCCGAGCGAATTCGCAAAGGGATTCAGCGCAGGCGCACGCTCACGCTCCGCTCTTGCCCTTGCCCTTCCCGCTCTCCTCCTTCGCGCCCCCGCCGAAGAGCGACCGCCCGCGCTTCTTCGGCGTGCTCGTCGAGGCGGTAGAGGTCTGACTCTGCGACCTTGCAAGGGGCGAGCCGTTAGTGGAGGCGGTGGACCCCCAGGCGTGAGGGGGGCGCCCCACGCGGGGTCGCTGGGAGAGAGCGGGTTGGCGTCGAGCGAGGGCGTGGGTGTGAGGCTGTCTGTGCTGCTCGCCGGCGTGCCCGTGCCCCGGCGGAATGGTCTCAGGAAAGACTTTGGCTTGGGCCAGGTAGAGCTCTTGCTTGGAGGGTGGAAGGAGCTGGGCGGGGCTGGAGGGAGGGGATGGATGCGGGGGCGGCGGGGGAGCTGTATGGGGAGCTGTAGGGGGAGGAGGAGGAGGAGGGGAGGGGGCTGCGGGGAGGCATGGGGGACGGCGGGGGCATGGCGGTGTACGCAGCGGCGGGAATGCACTCGGCAGCGTCGGCAGGGTCCGGGAGGGGCAGCTCGTCGCCGTCGTCGGTGAGCATGATGCTCCGGCGGGGGTCGGGGAGCGGGGCGAATCGGATACGTCTTGGTGGTTTTTGCATTGTGGGTGTATTTGCGCTGTTGTGGCTGGCGCTGGTGTGAGAGGAGGTGCTTGATGAAGCAGAGCTTGATGCGCTTGTTGATGCGCTGGTCGACGAGGAGAGACTGTTTGTCGAGGGCTGACTTGGCAGCAGAATAGACTGCGGCGGGGACAGCAACGACATGGTTGGACTGGTCAAAGCTCTGATTCACACCAAGAAATCAATAACAGCGGTGTCGGGTGTCCGCCAAGCAATTTCTCATATAACATAACCCCGGCTTTCTTTTCTTGCTTATCTCGAACTGCTTTGATTTTGCTTCCGTCACTGTCCGCGCCGAACGCCTATAAATGTCCTTCGCCGGGGCATCTTACACAACGATATGCATCCCGAATTAGTCGCCGTCGATTTGTCCCTCCTATCCACACCCCGGCACTTCCCGCGCCCTTTTCTGTTCCCATCTCCCATCACTCCCACTCTCCAGGGTTTTCCGTCTTTTCCGCGCACCCCGCCCTTACCCGCAGACGCGACGAACGTGGTCCAGTCGACGAGTCGTGAGACATTCCGACTGTGGGACGTCACAGTTGTTTACGGCTTACCGACTTGCCGACTTCACCATCCATCAAAAATTATCATAATCATCCAGCCTGGGAAATCTGACGGTGCCGCCCGACGCGCGTTTCCTTACAGCGGGTGGCGTCCCGTCTTTGCTTACCCACCGTTTCCACGTCGCACTACGATCATCATGGCCATGCGCGACGCGCATACCCCCGTGGGATAATCACCACCACGGCCACGGCGATGTGCACTTCAAGTTGATGCTCCGTCGCTTTGCTTCCGGATCGACGACTCGGAGGGCCTGGACCTTTCTGTGGGCGCCCCGTCACGACCCGGCCACCCCCGAACCGAGCCCACAAACGCCCACATCTCCTGTTTTTCTTTTGCAATTCGCCCAGCTGGTTCGTTCTTTTTCAAGTCTGCTTCAACGTGGCCCTCGTACTTATGAAAACCGCATGCCGATCCTGGACGAGGCCTTGGCGGACGTGCAGATGTCTTCAAGTTTGGTGAATCCTATGTACATACGCTTGCGAAGCAGCCCTAGACGACCCTACGTGCCAGCGTATTCGAACGTGTGTCTGGGATACGCAGCCCTGCAACGCGTCTCCAAATTCCAATCGTAACATACATGCATGTAAGGTAATCCCGTCTCGTCACTGTATTTCCGCAAACAAACAAACAAATGGTCCTGAACTTCGAACGTGCGCTGCTTCGATCCACTTCCACGAGGCAGGCTCATCGATCATCCTATCCGCTCTCAGGCTCGCCACTCTCGGTCCTCAGGGCCAGCGGGACTGCAAGCGCGAGGAAGTAATATCGTTTCTCAACACGAACCGCTCGATCTGTCTCTGACTCGGACATGCCCTCGGAGTCTTGTTCAGTCTCAGGCTGCCGTCTAAGGTCTGTTCGAATCACCTATTCATCCGAGCGAGAAGGGAAACGTCTGCATGTCTATAGTTGTCTACATCTTGGTTCGATCTTCAAGTTCGTTTCGTTTCATTTTGTATCCTACGTACACACATCTCCAACGAAAAAAAAAGAAAAAAAAACGCTAGTTGAAGGGAAGGGAAATTGAAAATTGAAAAATCAGGGGGATCCTCATGCATGGCCCAACCCCGAATTGAACGAGGGTCCTCCTGCTTGCAATGCGTTCCCATCATTTGGAGCAGACGCACTAACCAACTGTGCTATTGGGCCAATGATTTTCTTTATTGCTGGCTACTGGTGTATACTGGTCCACAATATTACTTAGCGGAGTCGCGTTCAGAATTCAACGAACTGGTTGAACAGTCAATATAACATATTCTGCGTGGAACGGCACCCAAAAATATGACGAGCGTGTTGAGAGAAACGACAATGGAATAAAAGTGGAGAAAGTGGAGAAAAGTGGAGAAAAAATAAAAAAAAGTACGAACCTACCATGGCCCAACCCCGATTCGAACGAAGGTCTCCTGCTTACAAAAGACGGGAGTCCGGACCAATTTAGAGCAGGCGCACTAACCACTGTGCTATTGGGCCGATGATTCTATTCCTTGCTGGCTACTAGTGCATGCTGAGATATAGCGGTGACAATATTAGTAACGGGTCATGTTCAGAACCCAACAAGCCAACTTGAACAGTCAATGGAACATATCCACACCCCTAATATCCCGTGCCAAAAATACTGAGAGAAACAACATGGAATGAAAGGGATCAAAAAGAATGTATTCAAACATGGCTCAACCCCGATTCGAACGAGGGTTCTCCTGCTTATAACACCAAGCAGTCCTATTTACAGCAGGCGCACTAACCAACTGTGCTATTGGGCCAATGATTTCTCTCCTTGCTGGCTACATACTGGTGTATACTGAAATATGGTGGTGACAATATTAGCGGGTCATGTTCAGAATTCAACAAGCCCACTCAAACTGGTTGAAAATGCGTGGTATCGTTGAACGAACCCCAAAAGAATTAGCAAGTTGAAACTACAGAATAACAGAATAACAGAAAAAAAGAAAAACAACTTCATGAACATGGTCCAACCCCGGATCGAACGAGGGTTCTCATGCTTACAAACACAAAAGTTTTTATATTTGGAGCAGGCGCACTAACCAACTGTGCCATTGGGCCAATGAATTTCATATTCTTTACTAGTGTGTAGTGGTGGCAATTACAATTTATTATTTAAACTGGAGGTCATATTTAGAATTGGTTCAGATTTCATCTTCGAAGACACTTGTACTACACAAGTTGACAGAAGGACAGAACTAGAAGGCATATTTACCTGCAATGGTGCAGGCAGCCCGCCACTTCTGTATGGTTGAAAAAGTGGAGTAAGCACTTTACTGATATTAATGCCCGGCTCTTCCACTGTCCACCCTCATCCAGACATATCTCGCTTGTAAAACCGCTCCCGAAAAAAATGGCGAGCCTGTGAAAGGAACACTGAAAAAAAGTGAAACAAAGTGAAACAAAAAAAAACACCAAATGAAGCTGATCATGGCCCAACCCCGAATTGAACGAGAGTCCTCCTGCTTACAAATAATGCATCTAGTAACTTGAAACAGGTGCACTGACCACTGTGCTATTGGGCCAATGATTTTCCTTCTTGCTGGCTACATACTAATGTATGCTGAAATATAGTGCTGACAATATTAGCAGGTCATGTTCAACATTCAATAACTCGGACTGGGACAGTCGAAAAAGGACAGAAAATGTAACACATCCCGCGTGGTATTGGTATCGTCGAACGAACTGCCGCAAAAGAATTAGCAAGTTGAAACCGCAGAATAACAGAATAAAAGAGAGAAAGGAAAAAAAGAAGAACAATTTTATGCATAAAGCATAGCCCAACCCCGGATCGAACGAGGGTCTCCTGCTTACAGGTCCACCACAATTCATTTAGAGCAGGCGCACTAACCACTGTGCCATTGGGCCGATGATTTCTCTCCTTGCTGGTCACATACCAGTGTATGCTGAGATATGGTGGTGACAATATTATGTAGCGAGGTCATGTTCAACAAGCCAACTCAAACTGGTTGAAAATGCGTGGTATCGTTGAACAAACTACCCCAAAAGAATTAGCAAGCTGAAACCGCAGAATAACAGAGAGAAAGAGAGAAAGAAAAAATAGAGAGAAAAGATTAAAAATTAAAAATTAAAAAAAACTGCCACAGTTCGAAGCATATGGCCCAACCCCGGATCGAACGAGGGACCTCCTGCTTACAAAGATATTCTCTTTCGAATCATTTACAGCAAGCGCACAAACCAACTGTGCTATTGGGCCGACAACTTTGTAAGCTTGTTCTCTGACTTTGTTGTACGACAATGGTGGTGGCGAGATAGCAATATCAAACGGGGATTCATGTTCAGAATTGGTTCAGAACTCAATGTTCACCTTGAACTGGGACAGTTCAAAGAAGGACGTACAGAGAATGAGCGAGAATACATCTTCATGTAACTGTGCCTCGAAAGTTGAACCCGTCTGCTTTCAAGGTGGTTCCAGTCACTTATGTATAGTTGAAAAAGTCCTCCCAATATCCGACTCCTCCACTGGCCCTCTCATCCAACAAACATGTTTCACAAACTCTCAAATAAATGGTGGGTCTGTTGAACGAAACAACAAAATAAAAGAAAGAAAAGAAAGAAGGAAAAGAAAGAAGGAAAAAGAGATCACTCTCAATTATGGCCCAACCCCGAATTGAACGAGGGACCTTCTGCTTGTAGTCATGGCAAGAAACAAACATAACTTAGAGCAGGTGCACTAACCACTGTGCTATTGGGCCAATGATGTTTTGGCTTGTTCTCTGATTTTGTTGTAGGACAAGGTAGTGATGTAATTTGTACTTAGGTCATGTTCAGAATTCAATGTTCAACTTGAACTGGAACAGTGAATGAACCAGAAGACATGGTTGAAGTTGTGGTTGAAAAAGTGGAGTAATGCAGGCACTTCCTCTTATCCGAGTCCAATTGCTACCGGCTCCCTCACGTCTCGCTCGAAAAAGCCCACCCAAAAATTGCGCGCTTGTCAAAAGAAAAGAGAGAAAAAGGAAGAAAATTCAAAAAATTGATTGAAATGTTATGACCATGGCCCAACCCCGAATCGAACGAGGGTCTCCTGCTTATAAGAAATGAGATACAGACAAACTTGAAGCAGGCACACTAACCACTGTGCTATTGGACCGACAATTTTCTCTCTTGCTGGCTACTGGTGTATGCTGAGATATGGTGGTGACAATATTAGTGCCAGTGGGGTCATGTTCAGAACTTAGCTTTAACAAGCGGATTCCTCCAACTCAAACTGGTGGAAAGCCTAAGGCGCACTCAAAACTATATCCTGCGTGGAACGCCACCACTAATACCCACTCCAAAAAATTAGCGAGTTGAAAAAATTTAAAACTTAAAAATTTACTTCCACCGTCATGACCCAACCTCGGATCGAACGAGGGTCCTCCTGCTTACAATCAACGATTTACCGTGCGAATTTGAAGCAGGCACACTAACCACTGTGCTATTGGGCCGATGACTTTCCTTCAGTGACAATTGTGCTCTGATTTATGTTGACTCACAACTGCGATGGTTGAAAAGTGGAGTCGGCACCTCCCGGTGGCTGTTTCGTGGCATTCCTCCTCCTTCATCCTTCATCCTTCATTATCCGTTCCCTGCCTTATTTCAGGGTCTATTTCAAGCCGACTTATTTCCCACTGGAAGAAAGGTACCGTACCGACAAATTCATTTCATTTTGTGCCTTCACCTCGGACAGAGATCGCGATACACCGACGAGTACCATGGTCGCCAGGTTCAACCTCGATGTCACCCGCCAATTCGTTGACTTTTACTACTAGACGTTTGACTCTGATCGCATAAAACTTGCACTACTTTACTTCCCGCTCGTCTCATTCGATCTCCAAGTTGATTCGAAGTTGTCCGACGTCCTGGACCTACAGCGCGATACCTCCATTCTATTCTACGAAGGCCAACAGATCTTGGGCACCGCGGCAATTATAGAGAAACTAACGGTAGGGTACCCCCCTGCATCCATCTACCAAGTGTCTCACCCGGCAACGTGCACGGTGCCAGTCCCTCTCGTTCGAAGTCAAGACAAAGGACGCGCAGCCTTCGGTGACGGAGTCCAACCTCCTTATCTGTGTGACCGGAGCCCTGGTCGCGCGTCTGTCTGTCTCGTCATCGTACGGGCTCCGATCGTTCAACTGCTTACTCCGTGCCACATCTCGCACACACGCAGATCGACGACAACGATTCGTTGCCGTTCAGTGGGACATTCTACCTGATTCCAGACGGCGGGAGCTACTACATGTGCGTCTATCATCCCTCAATCTGCCTCGAGCGCCGCGGCATCAACTTCTCTAGCTTCAACCATATTTTCCGGCTCATTTCCGAGTGATCGCTCTGATTCTGAAAGACGGATAGTGGGACCAATGGGTGAGCAGGGGTATGTACGATAACCTTAGACTGTTTTCTTTCTTCCTTTCCTTTACTGATGCAAATTCGCTACCCAAACCACCCCGTAAATTCCGAGTCGTATTCGGAACTCAATATTATATTCCCATCTCTTCAATTCTCCCAACGAAAGCGCAGCGTATTCAAACGTGTCCGCGCGCGCCTCAGCTTCGGGGTCAGCGGGACTGGCTTCAACTTGAAGCCTCGAGGAATTTCCGCGTGGAGGATTTGAAGGAAGTTCCGCAATTCGTTCACCTGTCAGTATTCAACATTCAACTTCAATACCGGGAAATCATTTCCACGAGCATATCATCTCTTTATTTCTTTGATCCAGGCCCTGAAATGCTCTCGTTCTGACTGCCCTTTGTCGTCTGTTCTGTTCTGTACTGGTTCCCCATCGTCGCTTATCAGTATGTTTTGCAATCGGTTCGGTCATATCCACTGTTGTTGGTTTATACATCGGTTTGAATGCACATCTGTTCACTCAATGTCACTGTAACATGTACTGCGTGGTGTTTCAGTGAAAGACATCCCAAAAAAAATGACGAGTTGGAAGGACGAAAAGAAAAGAAAAAAAGATCACTTCCATCAATCGGGCATGACCCAACCCCGAATTGAACGAAGGTCTCCTGTTTAAAGATAAGGACTTACAAATCAGGTGCACTAACCAACTGTGCTATTGGGCTGGTGACTTCTTTGGCTTGTTCTTTAATTTTGTTGTAATACAGTGCGGTGACGATTTGGATAGTACATATTCAACAACTCGCAGCAGATTTCGTTAAATTCAAGCTGAACCTCCGTTCCGAGTCCAATTGCGCAAGAGACTGGATTAAGCATGCAATCTTTACACGAAAGTGCCCCGGAGAAACATTCAAGCAGAAAAAATGGCGTGACTTGTGGTTGAAAAAAGTGGAATCGGCACTTCCCGGTGGCTGTGTCGCTGTTTGGCTCTTGTCCTCCTCCATTTCTTGTCCCCTTCCCAAAGTTCGAACGCCGGAGAAATGCTAGCAGCGCCGGCTCTCCTAATGCTCTGAATCCGGCTCAGCATAGATTTTCCACGTCGTTGGCATCGAGCCATGGGCCGCAACAATTAGGAAGAGTGGGCCTGGCTCACGATCTATCTATCCCCTGCCACCTCTCCCGGGCCCACAGTCGATCCTACTAGCGATAAACGTACACCCATGTGCACCCACAATATTTCTACTACCTCTTCTTATGATGATTATTGCTCTGGCGTGGAACTGTCAACTATCACAAAATCGCGACGGCTTTTACCGACTTCGATTGGCATTGCGGGGTCCCTCCTGCAGCCACTGGTGGCGGACACAATCTCATCCACAATCGATCCTAGGTACCAACCTGACACTTTCGAATCCAAGGCAATTCCCGAGCTCTTTGGTCGACGCGTCGCCCTACACAATCGATCCCAGCGACTCTTCGAACGTGGGCCTATATACCCCGGCCCCAACACATTTTTTTCTCTCTTTTTTTTTCGTATTCCAACTCTGGCCGGGGCCATCGTCGCAGAATCAGAATCACTGTCACCGACGAAATTAGATTCGGGTTAAGGATCCCGGATCTCCTTCTTTAATGTCCGTCTATCGCGACTATTTTTTGCTGGTGCTAGTCCTATCTACTTCTCCTGTCCGCCCAGGGCCTTCACAACGATCATTCCGCGGTAATATGCTGCCCTCTGATCCAAATCCGATCAGGACCGTGTCTTACTCCCGCCAACAATATTATTAATCGACGACTCGGACTGCCAGCGCAGCGTATTCGAACGTGCGGCTCGCATCCACTCACTACGCCGGGGGCCATCGACTCGGACTCGGAGACTGTCACAAGCGGCTCGAATCAGCTGCCAGTGGCCCGGGGTAAACTAATCTCTTCCAATTGTAGATTTTGTCTGTTGGCTGATCTATTGCGCCATCCGAATTCTCGGCTGTTGAATTTTCTTTGCAGTTTTTCCTTCTATCCCCATGGCAAGTATTTCGTTAAATTACTACGCGTCACATCGTCCAAACCCGATCAGAATAATCGAACCCGTGTCTTTCAGACGACTGCCAACGCGGTGTATTGGAACGTGTACCCCACCGAGTCTCCCCGGAATCAAGTCGCTCACCACGGAAATTACAGTAATGTTTTTGATCGCTGTCTGTTCTTGACCTGATCTTTTATTCCATCTCAACGATTCGCCAGCTCCGCATATTCGAACATGGCGACTGTTGACAACCGACTCGAATCAACGTTGACAATGGAAGAAATCAAAACGCTCCCAGTGGACACGGAAATTACAGTATACGTTTCTCTTTTCTTAGCTCTATGATCTTCAACACCATCTGTTTTGTTGATCTATGCTGTCTCCCGGAAATCGGTCCTGCTCCGAGCTCCATTTTTTCTTGGTCTTTCTTTTTCCTTTTGGTTGGAAAAAAATCGGATGAACCGAAGCCAAACCTGGTTCGCCAATCCGTCCCATCCAGGCAATTCACCATATCCAGGAATTTTTGCGCACACGGCCTCAGCTGCTACTGGTAGGCTATCTTGCGCCCATCGCACACTCAAGAACAAAACTCTCTTCTGATCGCATCCAATCGCGCACACGATCAGGAAACACGTCCGCCAAAAGTCTTGCAGTACAAGTGACAAATTTTCCGCGGCCGGTGCGAGTGATACCCTGGAGGCAAACGTGTGCCTCTGCTGCCTACGCCGGATTCATATGCGTCGATACCGACACCTGAGCCTGAGCCGGCATATCCAAAAGGCTCCGCCCCGACGTCAACTTTGACGATCGCGATGATCGTTGAAAAACATACCTCAAAATTCGCGGTTTTAACCTCCATTCTCCTTCTCGAAAAAAATTCAACGTTTTCTGGATGCGGCGGCGTACAGTACTCACTGGTTCAAGTTCTTTATCCCGATTCATCTCCCGCATGCGATCATTTCAACTTGTTTCGCTTCCAAATCGCAGCTCAAAAAAAGCAAACGTGCGATGCTTCTCCAATCCAGCCCTGGATCCATTCTCGCGTACCTCGTACGCCGGGGCCAACGCAAATCCACCATCGATCAGGATAAGACTGGCTATCGATGCCGGGATACAACTGTACACGACCCGCATACGTGTATAACAGCAAATCCGCTCCGGAAATCAAACCGTTGCACCGAAATTTTGTTTATAACGCCTGGACTTAATGCTGCTGCTGGTTGCTATTTTCGCCTCTTTGTTCAGTTCACTTCTGATTGTTATAAAGCCCAGACCTGATGTTGCCACTGGTTGCTATTTTCGCCTCTTTTCTATTCTCAGTGATAATGTCTCTATCGACTCATTCGACCTGCTGCTGAGTTTGAATTTGATACGCCTTCCTCGGGGGGCGAGTGTCTGATGCCCAAGAATTTCTGTTCTACCGCTGAGTTTTATGACTCCCTCCCGGCAAGTCTATGAAGAATTTCTGTTCAACTTATTTTAGCGCTGCTCTTATACTTCAAAGTTCGAACACTCAAAGTTAAGTCAAAACCATACAGTTACTAATTCTTATCTGGACGCGACCAGACTGGAATTCCATCTCTCCAAAACGTCGCGCACCACTCAAGCACCACTATCTCGCGTCTTGCAAACGTGCGCAGTATGCCGGGGCGAACACTGCTGATGCATCGATGATTCCTCCGCCACTGTGATTTCCCCGGTGATTTACTGTGATTCAGATAGCGGCGTCGCCGGGATGGGGTAACGAATGACAGCGGAGGCTAATCTCCCATCGCGCACCGTAGCTTCGGACACGGAAATTAACGGTTCCGGAGATCTCTTTGATGATACGGTTGTGATACGGACGCGTTTATTTTGTTTTCAATCATGCTATCCCGGGTCGTTCCGAGCTTCTTCAACACTTTCTCTTCTTAATTCCAATCGTCCTGTTCTGTTCTGTTGGAAATAACACTCACCTTTCTTCTACTAGGACAAGCGAGATAGGCATGACAATGCACCACTGGCATATTCCTCTCATTACTCCCATCCTCCTATTCCACCCGTGCCGAGCTCGGACAACGTGAATCCTGTTTGCAGGGTCACTGATCATGACGCTGTGTCGACGTACCGGGTATTCTGCACACTTCTGTGCCGCGCTGCGTCGATCCACTCATGTTCTGCTATACCTCGAACGTGCTTGCTCGCAATGGAGGCGTAACATGCATCAGGTTTGCCATGGCCACTGCCAGCGCGACGCGTACGGCCGGGGATGTTCCCATTCCCTCGCTATCTATGGCGTGCTTGATACGTGTACGGAAGTTGGCCACGGCACCGATATCACCGTGGCCGAAGGGTCCAAATTTCTTTTCTACTCTCCGTGCTTCGCTTCAAGATTGACTTTTGAAGCTCTCACGGCTTAAAATGTGTTCGAGATGCCAGTAGGTTTTGATCAGGCTTGCAATTGAACCTCTTTGAAATGTAGACGAATCGACGTGGTCCGGAGGTCTCCGCGCTGGACCCACAGACCAGTTTAACCCTTGGGTTTGACCCAAGTTTAACCACCAACGTGCCTGCCTATCCTCGGATAGCCCTCCGAACTTTTTGGCGAATTCGGAGGTGAGGACACCTCATTATTTTTGCAACTCGTTTTATTTACAACCCTCTTGATAAATTTTCTTCAAATCAAATGGCGGCCTTGTCGTTCTTAAACACTCGTAAAAGGGTGTCCAACACACTTAACGGCTGGCGTCTTTCTAGCCTTCATTAAATTGTTCGCCGAGCCTACTGCAAGACAGTGGACCCACGAACGACGCTGAATTTCCGAATATGCGGAGGCTTGCGCTGAGGGAGATCCAGAACGTGGTTCACCGCGGACACGGTAGTAATTTTTGAAAAAGATAGTTACCTGACGCTGGTATCATAAAATTCATATCATAACGGGAGACGGCAGCAACATTTGAACCAACGAAAGAGATAATCCCTGCCAGCGGACTCTCGATTAATTACCTGTCGGCGTACACGACTTGACGCCAGGGCAAAAGCATTCACACAACTTGCGTTCGGGGTCTCAGTTATTCTTTTTTGTTTTTGCATACGTTAGCCCTCCCGTAATGAAAACGCCGACAAAGTTAGAACAATGAATGCCGACAACGCTCAGAATGCGGACGACGCGTTCACAATGCCGACAACCTTATGTGACCGCTCTCGGGTTCAGACATCGTACCTTTGACGTACATGCGGGCTATCGGCGAACAGGGTGTTTTTGGGTGTTTCATTTAGTATTTAGGTTGGCAGTTGCCACTGCAGTGAGTCACCGCCAAGGAGCCAAGGCTGATATACCGCAATGAAGACCACTGCGGATGGAATTTTGATTCAAGTAAGAAGCCCGGGCCGTCATTCAGTTCTGGGCTGTTCGAGTCCGACGATTTTCGAGCTGAGCATGTTGTTGAATTTCACAGTACTCGTTCACTTGAAGTTCAACTTCGGCCCGAGACTCCGGCCAAGTTGGACTTGGCATCTATAAAATCCTGCTTTGAGAAGAATTAAATCCCCGCACTGGAATTCCGATTATTGTACGAAAGGCTGCCCCGCGTCGTCCCTGCCACTGACATGTACCGGGGCCGCCACCGCTTGGCGCTGTGCCCCCCTCTGACACTCTTTGTCTTCCAACGTCAGCGAGTGCATAAGAATCGCGCACACGACCACCGAAAGGCTGAGAAAGTAAGT